CTTCTTAGAAATCCATTTTCTCAGATTTAGCCAAAATCATCCAGATTCCAAATCATTTGCACATCTGCTTGAAGCTGTCCTTGCCTTGGCTTTCAACTGTACCCTTGTCAACACCCCGTCAGACCTCTTCAAGTAGCTCTGATTGGCTGGGGCCTCCACAGTTCAGACCCTCCCCTGTGCCCCACAGCCACCTCCTGGGCAGTAACTGAAACTCCAGGGGTTGCAGCTGCGCTGAGCTCCAGCCTCCCAGCTTGCAGTCACCAAGCAGTGGGGATCAGCACCAGGACAAGCCAGCAGCCTCTTCTGAACTGAAATGCATGCCTTCCACAGGTGTGTCGTGTGATCAAGGCAGCCATGGTGCAGCATAGCTGAGACCTAAAGGGCCACCTGGCATCCCTGTTTCTGAAGGAAAATATTAACTGTGGCAAAAGTATGTCTTTGCATTGGCTACCCAAAATGGGGGGAGTGCTTCAAAGGCAAGAAGTGACTGGCAAGTTTTCAAGAGGGAACCTAGATCCAGAGGGCGTGGATGAAGATAGAATCTCCACTGAGTAGTATCCAATCTGTCTAGGCAGGGTTGATGAAAGGAAATGCAGATAGGTCTCTTGTGATACAATAGTGAATAATTGTTATCCGGACTGATTGTGAGGGTTGGAAATGTAAAGGTAGACATTTTGTAGCAAGGAGGGGAGTGATAGACTTTGAAGTCTAGGAGCGGAGGTCCCTGGGACCATCAAGGGAGAAGAGCAGAGAGCAGGACCCTACCCAGAGAAGAAGTGATGACAGAGATGGAGGCAGAGATGATGACATGGAGAGATGGAGGGGCTATGTGCTGATGGGGGGGGGGGAAGGGGCAGGCTTGCAGGGTATACCCTGTGGTTGGTTGATGATGCATGGAGGGGATTGTAACCATGGCAATGAAAGTATGTATGATAGGATTTCCCATGTAAACTATCACATAACTCACAATAAAACATTAAAAATAAAAAGTATGTCTTTGATATAGGGACCTGGTGTTGAGGAGCAATCACTGCCCCATAAACTCCCCACCTAAGTCCTAGGAAAACCAGCAGGAGTAGCTGTGCAGGCTGAAGGAGGTCTTGCTGGCTTTGTGACCACACTGTGTGCTTTGAGAGCTGCGCTGACCAGCTACAGTCCTGTCCAGTTTGCAGATCGCCTGCCGACACACCAGTCTTCTCAATCTAACCGCAATCTAACCTGCCATGCATTTATTTGACATGCCGTGTTGCCATAAGCTGTAAAATTATGAACTATAAAAATAATAGATTGTAGAAAGTAGACTTTTTCCAACACCCACTTGCCATCTGAAGTTTAAAGGATGGAAAAAAGAAGAAAAAAAAATAGAGCTTCTCTTTACTGCAAAAACATGCCCATCCATGCAAACAACTCCAGTGGTGTCCACTGGGATACATGAACATTCTTAGGACTTTTTTTTTTTTTTCCTAATAAGCAAGTAAAGAAATAAGCACAATTATCTTTGATATCAGTTAAGTGGCAGCACATCCAAAAAGCTGAATACCTTTTAGGAAGTTATGTTGTAAATCTGTGTAATGTTATCCTGAGGTAAATTTCTGACCTACAGCAAATTTTGTACAAATCTGTTTAATGAATTTATTGGGGTTCTTTTTGTATGGTCACAGAGCTCTGAACATTTTTGATAGGAACCTTGTTTCTACAAGAAATGGTCATTTCTGCATTCCTGACTTGTTAGAGAATGATTAGAAGGTACACAGATTTGAAAACCAAATCAGTGACTTTTACAAAGTTGATAACTGAGTTGTCAGACTTAAGTCAGCCTGGCCAGCAGACTACGATAATTCTTTCTATGCCTTCTTTCTCTTACTTCCTTTCCTCTGCCCAATTTTCCATTATAAAATGCTGCCCATCTAATTATGAGATTTTTGTGGGGTAGTCAAGCATTTCTTGGAAATCGTGATTTTGGGGAATAGATTAAGACTGAAACAGGAAGGGAAAACAGTGCTTACTTGGATGTAAAGATTCATGGTGCACAAATTATGGTAGCTCCTTAACAAAAACAATCTGCTCCTGTAAAATGAGATGAAGCTCTACAATGAGCTCGATTCCCAGTTTAAGCCGGTTAAGGGGCTAAATCCATCCAT